GAGGACCGCAACAAGTAGGCTCTTAACTTACATAAGTAGCCTCAAAAGTAGCTAAACTACCCGGAGTGCAAAAACAAGCCGGAAAAACATTAGCATGTGAATTAGCGAACTGGTTGCCTACTTAAGGACTAAAAATACGATGACTCTGCACCTGGCATTACACCTTGGCAGTAACATTGGCCAAACACCCAGACGCTTTCCGTGGTTCCCTTTGACAGGGGACTGTCATACTTCGTCATACTTCAACCATTGTGATTGGGGGCTTCAGGGGAGGGCGCGTGCTGCGAACAACTTGTGCTCTTGATATCACTTGACAGCTGCCTAAGAGAACAACATGAAGCAGCTGAGTTGCTCGTCTTTCCAAATTTTCTGAGTGACCAGCCTCGAGTGTGCATTGCGATCACACGAAACCGCACGTGAAAACGGTCAAAATCCGGGCAAGCCTAGTGAAGGCCACACTGAGGGGCACACTTCTCTTTATCAAGAACGAACTCCTTGTTGATAAACATGAGGACGTCGCCCGCACGGATGTCTTCTGGCTCGGCCTATACAGCACATGCCTATCACAAAACTGTACAACCGACCTGTTCTGTGGAATGGATGGCTCGGGCCTTTGGGCAGTGTCTGCTGAGAGCCTTCACACACGCGCCTTGCTCCGTGAACTTCCAGATAATGGACTTCATCTGCAGAAGGGAATCAAAATTCCATGTCATGAGCCCACTTGCTTGAATTGCAACTTGCAACCTCTCTAGGTTCTTGTCAAAAGAGACCTCGTCAACATTGTCAGCATCAAGGACAAGCGTAAGCTCGACCGGCCGCTCAGGGCGGATGACCTGCAAACCCAATCGATCTAGCAACACCGTCCGTTGTACGTTCTTGACAGAGCCTCTGATTTCCTCTGAAAGCCGTCATGGCCCGTGTAGAGTTCCGTCTCAGAGGAGCCAGGCGAAAGCCTAAGCCAGAATGATCTTGAGAATTGATCCACTCTGCGTGACTCTTGTGGCTTTTCATTTTCCCGAATTCCAGCATTACACGTCCTTCCAAGGCGACAACGGTGGTCTTGACAACATGCGCTGCTCAGAACCTGCATGTAGCCACAATGTGTTGCTCCAGTCATTCTTGCAAAGCCCTACTGTACTATCTGCACTTGGACGTGCTTGCCCGGCCTTCAGGCAGCCTCGACAAGCGCTGAGAACCTCGGCCTGCCAACGCAATCAGGTGCTCGTAGAAAACTGCTAAATCTCCCCCGCTAAGTTGCAAAGTCCTGGGCAAAGCAACGCACAACATGACTCAAAGGCCGGGCAACGCAACGGCTCTGTATTCTTCAGCTGCTCAGGTCGTGGGCCAACCGCAGCTTCTATCCGTGGACGAGTTCACGATTCTTGCACTTTCGAGTCAAATACTTGCAACTAGCCAATGGCAAAGCCGCACGTACAGGCCGCTTGTCAAAAACATCACGAGGGGCCCATGTGAAAGCCAGACATCCAGTGCTTCAGAATTGGCGTGCTGGACTTGTCAGCCCTCCCGAGTCTGACAACAGCTGCGAAAATAAAACAGCTCCCGTGCTGAGAAGCTGGAGAGGCCAAACCTGGTTCTGCACGCATTAGCTCGGGTGCTCAGGTCTTGCGGTCCGTTTGCAGGGCTGGAATGTTCACAAGAGCAGTGCTT